GCATGTATCTATGTGTGTGTGAGTGTGTATCTATGTGTGTGTATATGAGTGTGTGAGCATGTATCTATGTGAGTGTGTATCTATGTGTGTGTATATGAGTGTGTGAGCATGTATCTATGTGTGTGTGTATCTATGTGTGTGTATATGAGTGTGTGAGCATGTATCTATGTGTGTGTGAGCGTGTATCTATGTGTGTGTATATGAGTGTGTGAGCATGTATCTATGTGTGTGTGAGTGTGTATCTATGTGTGTGTATATGAGTGTGTGAGCATGTATCTATGTGTGTGTGAGTGTGTATCTATGTGTGTGTATATGAGTGTGTGAGCATGTATCTATGTGTGTGTGAGTGTGTATCTATGTGTGTGTATATGAGTGTGTGAGCATGTATCTATGTGTGTGTATATGAGTGTGTGAGCATGTATCTATGTGTGTGTGAGTGTGTATCTATGTGTGTGTATATGAGTGTGTGAGCATGTATCTGTGTGTGTGTGAGTGTGTATCTATGTGTGTGTATCTATGTGTGTGTATATGAGTGTGTGAGCATGTATCTATGTGTGTGTGAGCATGTATCTATGTGTGTGTATCTATGTGTGTGTATATGAGTGTGTGAGCATGTATCTATGTGAGCATGTATCTGTGTGTGTGTGAGTGTGTATCTATGTGTGTGTATATGAGTGTGTGAGCATGTATCTATGTGTGTGTATATATGAGTGTGTGAGCATGTATCTATGTGAGCATGTATCTATGTGTGTGTGAGTGTGTATCTATGTGTGTGTATATGAGTGTGTGAGCATGTATCTATGTGTGTGTGAGTGTGTATCTATGTGTGTGTATATGAGTGTGTGAGCATGTATCTATGTGAGCATGTATCTATGTGTGTGTGTATATCTATGTGTGTGTATATGAGTGTGTGAGCATGTATCTATGTGTGTGTGAGCATGTATCTATGTGTGTGTATATGAGTGTGTGAGCATGTATCTATGTGTGTGTGAGTGTGTATCTATGTGTGTGTATATGAGTGTGTGAGCATGTATCTATGTGTGTGTGAGTGTGTATCTATGTGTGTGTATATGAGTGTGTGAGCATGTATCTGTGTGTGAGTGTGTATCTATGTGTGTGTGTATATGAGTGTGTGAGCATGTATCTATGTGTGTGTGTGTATCTATGTGTGTGTATATGAGTGTGTGAGCATGTATCTATGTGTGTGTGAGTGTGTATCTATGTGTGTGTATATGAGTGTGTGAGCATGTATCTGTGTGTGTGTATCTATGTGTGTGTATATGAGTGTGTGAGCATGTATCTATGTGTGTGTGAGCATGTATCTATGTGTGTGTATATGAGTGTGTGAGCATGTATCTATGTGTGTGTGAGTGTGTATCTATGTGTGTGTATATGAGTGTGTGAGCATGTATCTATGTGTGTGTATCTATGCGTGTGTATATGAGTGTGTGAGCATGTATCTATGTGTGTGTGAGTGTGTATCTATGTGTGTGTATATGAGTGTGTGAGCATGTATCTATGTGTGTGTGAGTGTGTATCTGTGTGTATATGAGTGTGTGAGCATGTATCTGTGTGTGAGTGTGTATCTATGTGTGTGTGTATATGAGTGTGTGAGTGTGTATCTATGTGTGTGTATATGAGTGTGTGAGCATGTATCTATGTGTGTGTGAGCATGTATCTATGTGTGTGTATATGAGTGTGTGAGCATGTATCTATGTGTGTGTGAGTGTGTATCTATGTGTGTGTATATGAGTGTGTGAGCATGTATCTATGTGTGTGTATCTATGTGTGTGTATATGAGTGTGAGCATGTATCTATGTGTGTGTGAGTGTGTATCTATGTGTGTGTATATGAGTGTGTGAGCATGTATCTATGTGTGTGTATCTATGTGTGTGTATATGAGTGTGTGAGCATGTATCTATGTGTGTGTGAGTGTGTATGTGTGTGTATATGAGTGTGTGAGCATGTATCTATGTGTGTGTGAGTGTGTATCTATGTGTGTGTATATGAGTGTGTGAGCATGTATCTATGTGTGTGTGTATCTATGTGTGTGTATATGAGTGTGTGAGCATGTATCTATGTGTGTGTGAGTGTGTATCTATGTGTGTGTATATGAGTGTGTGAGCATGTATCTATGTGTGTGAGCATGTATCTATGTGTGTGTATATGAGTGTGTGAGCATGTATCTATGTGTGTGTGAGTGTGTATCTATGTGTGTGTATATGAGTGTGTGAGCATGTATCTATGTGTGTGTATCTATGTGTGTGTATATGAGTGTGTGAGCATGTATCTGTGTGTGTGTGAGTGTGTATCTATGTGTGTGTATATGAGTGTGTGAGCATGTATCTATGTGTGTGTGAGTGTGTATCTATGTGTGTGTATATGAGTGTGTGAGCATGTATCTATGTGTGTGTATCTATGTGTGTGTATATGAGTGTGTGAGCATGTATCTATGTGAGCATGTATCTGTGTGTGTGTGAGTGTGTATCTATGTGTGTGTGTGTGAGTGTGTGTGTGAGCATGTATCTATGTGTATGAGTGTGTGAGCATGTATCTATGTGTGTGTGTATATGAGTGTGTGAGCATGTATCTATGTGTGTGTGTATATCTATGTGTGTGTATATGAGTGTGTGAGCATGTATCTATGTGTGTGTGAGTGTGTATCTATGTGTGTGTATATGAGTGTGTGAGCATGTATCTGTGTGTGTGTGAGTGTGTATCTATGTGTGTGTGTGTGAGTGTGTGTGTGAGCATGTATCTATGTGTGTGTGTATATGAGTGTGTGAGCATGTATCTATGTGTGTGTGTATATCTATGTGTGTGTATATGAGTGTGAGCATGTATCTATGTGTGTGTGAGTGTGTATCTATGTGTGTGTATATGAGTGTGTGAGCATGTATCTGTGTGTGTGTGAGTGTGTATCTATGTGTGTGTGTGTGAGTGTGTGTGTGAGCATGTATCTATGTGTGTGTGTATATGAGTGTGTGAGCATGTATCTATGTGTGTGTATATGAGTGTGTGAGCATGTATCTGTGTGTGTGTGAGTGTGTATCTATGTGTGTGTGTGTGAGTGTGTGTGTGAGCATGTATCTATGTGAGCATGTATCTATGTGTGTGTGAGTGTGTATCTATGTGTGTGTATATGAGTGTGTGAGCATGTATCTGTGTGTGTGTGAGTGTGTATCTATGTGTGTGTGTGAGAGTGTGTGTGTGAGCATGTATCTATGTGTGTGTGTGTGAGCATGTATCTATGTGTCTGTATCTATGTGTGTGTATATGAGTGTGTGAGCATGTATCTATGTGAGCATGTATCTGTGTGTGTGTGAGTGTGTATCTATGTGTGTGTGTGTGAGTGTGTGTGTGAGCATGTATCTATGTGTATGAGTGTGTGAGCATGTATCTATGTGAGCATGTATCTATGTGAGTGTGTATCTATGTGTGTGTATATGAGTGTGTGAGCATGTATCTATGTGTGTGTATCTATGTGTGTGTATATGAGTGTGTGAGCATGTATCTATGTGAGCATGTATCTATGTGTGTGTGAGTGTGTATCTATGTGTGTGTGTGTGAGTGTGTGTGTGAGCATGTATCTATGTGTATGAGTGTGTGAGCATGTATCTATGTGAGCATGTATCTATGTGAGTGTGTATCTATGTGTGTGTATATGAGTGTGTGAGCATGTATCTATGTGTGTGTATCTATGTGTGTGTATATGAGTGTGTGAGCATGTATCTATGTGAGCATGTATCTATGTGTGTGTGAGTGTGTATCTATGTGTGTGTGTGTGAGTGTGTGTGTGAGCATGTATCTATGTGTATGAGTGTGTGAGCATGTATCTATGTGTGTGTGTATCTATGTGTGTATATGAGTGTGTGAGCATGTATCTATGTGTGTGTGAGTGTGTATGTGTGTGTGTATGAGTGTGTGTGTATGAGTGTGTGAACATGTATCTATGTGTGTGTGTGAGTGTATGAGTGTGTGAGAGTGTGTGTGTGAGCATGTATCTATGTGTGTGTGTGTGTGAGCATGTATCTATGTGTGTGTGTATCTATGTGTGTGTATATGAGTGTGTGAGCATGTATCTATGTGTGTGTGAGTGTGTATGTGTGTGTGTATGAGTGTGTGAGCATGTATCTATGTGTGTGAGTGTGTATGTGTGTGTGTATGAGTGTGTGTGTATGAGTGTGTGAACATGTATCTATGTGTGTGTGTGTATGTGTGTGTGTATGAGTGTGTGAACATGTATCTATGTGTGTGTGTGAGTGTATGAGTGTGTGAGAGTGTGTGTGTGAGCATGTATCTATGTGTGTGTGTGTGTGAGTGTGTGTGTGAGTGGGGATCCTTCCCTTTCCCCCAGATCTGCTTGGTGAATGAGGCCCCCCCAGCAAAGCCTGCTCACAAAAGGTGAGGAGAGAGGCCGCAGGAGGTAGGCCAGGTGGGTGATGTTATGGGTGGGGGTCAGGGTGCTAAGAGCAGGGGGCAGGGCAACAAGGACACACCTGGTGGGAGGGGCCTCGGCCATTCCCTGGTGTGCTTCCTGCAAGGAGCCCCTCCCACGGGCCTGCTGTGTCCCATCCTGGTCTCCCTGCCTGTTCCTTCCCTCTGCGCCCTCCGTGCCCTCTGCGCCCTCCGCGCCCTGGAACCCCGGGAGCTGGGGCTGAGCTGGAAGCAGGCAGAGCAGACACTGTGGCCAAATCCCCACCTCTTCTCGGCTGGCCCACCCTCGGAGATAGAGGAGTTCTGGGGGTGCGTGAGGTCTCCCCGACCCCTGCACCGGGGGGATGGGAGGGCATGTGGGGCCTCACTCACTCCCTGGTCTCCATCTTTCCATGGGGGGATTGGGGTGTGCCTGGTCCTCCTGCCCAGAGATGTTTGGTACCAGACTGCACACCTGGCCCAGCCTACAGCGCCCCTTCACCCCACCTGTGTGATCGGAGGTCCTGGGGGCACTTCTCTCCTTCCCTGGGGCCAGCCCAGGCGGTGCCAGGAGCGGGGCTCACCTCCGGCCCGCCTCGGCGTCGCGGTAGTCCTCGATGGCCAGCCGCAGCTTGCGCCGGTGCAGGGAGCTGCACACGCCCAGGCCCAGCTCCAGGTCCTCGTCGCTCAGGCTCAGCAGCACCTGCGCCCCAGAAATGGGCACTGAGCGTCCGGGAGGCTTGGGGCACCTAAGGCCTCCCAGGACCCATGTCGGCCAGGGCTGAGCCCCAGAGGGGTCTGCTGGCTAGGGCTCCTTCTCCCCATCTCCCTGCCCACCTTCCCTGCGGTCAGGGCAGAGCACCCCTGCAGCCCCTCTGAAGGACCCCTGTAGCCTTCCTAGAGCCCCCCTGAAGCACCCCCACAGCCTGTCTGGAGCCCCCCTGGAACACCCCTGAAGCCCCCCTGGAAGACCCCTGAACACCCCTTGCAGCCTACCTAGAGCTCCCCTGCAGCACCCCTGCAGCCGCCTGGAGCACCCCTGCAGCACCTCTCAGGCTGGGGCTCCAGGAGGTGGGCAGATCACCATCCAGGCCGAAAGAGCCCTTCCGTGGAGCCCTGCCTCCCCTCAGCCAGGTAAAGGGAGGCTCGTCCCGGTTTAAAGGTGAGGAGGCTGAGCCCAGGAGGGCTGTGACTTGCTGGGGAGACTGAGGGTTTATTGGGAACACTGGTGCCTGGGTTACATCTCCTGCTCGCCCTGAGGGTCAGGGTGGGAGTCGGGGTGGGGGTGGGGCAGGCCAGCTCAGGGTTGGTAAAGCTCATGGGAGGGCCCGGGGGGATTCTCACTGGGGTCCCGGGTGTGCCCTACCTTCCCGCTCTTCACGTTCTCCGCGCAGGCCTTGACGTACATGGGCATGGCCATGACCACCTCCAGCCAGGCCTGCACGGCGCCCGCCTTCCAGTGGGACATGGGGGTGGTCCTGACCAGCTCCACCTGCTGCAGCCGGTCCACCTGCTCCTCGCCCTCCGACAGGCTCTGCCTCGTGGGGCTGCACTGGCTGTCCGCGTCTGCAACACACGAGCGCAGGCCCTGCTGGGAGGACACACACACGCCCGGGCTCCCAACGCACCAGGCCCTGCTGGGGAGGGGGTCCGGGGGGCCGCGGGGGGCAGGGATGGGCAGGCTGCACCCCCTGAGCCTGCATCCCCCCTGCAGGAGGAGGGCAGGGATGTCTTCCCCCCATGCATTTCTTCTTTTAAAAATCAAAATGGCCCAGCATCGTGGCTCAGTGGTTGAGCATCGACCTATGAACCAGGAGGTCATGGTTCGATTCCCGGTCAGGGCACATGGCTGGGTTGCGGGCTTGATTCCCAGTGTGGGGAGTGCAGGAGGCAGCCGGTCAATGATTCTCTCTCATCACTGATGTTTCTATCTCCCTCTCCCTTTCCCTTTCCCTTCCTCTCTGAAATCAATAAAAACATATTTAAAAAAAAATAAAAATGGCCTTTGTTTTGTTTTGCCACCGTTCCCCCATTACACAAAGAAAAGAATTTTAAAAACTTAATCCAGAAAAGAATACAAATAAAACAAGGTGGGAATGGCCCCAAGTCCCGCACCCTCAGGCAGCAGCTGTTAGTATTTAGCGAAGCGCACATTGGGAGACACACAAGCCCAGGCTACAAACACACGCAGACCCACGCGCTGCACCCCGCGTCCGTCCCGTGACACGCGGCTCTCACGGCACCCCTGCACCCGGGAGCAGCCTGCACTATCTTCTGACCGCCCAGGCCTCAGGGATGGCTGCTCGACCTTTATTTCACCCGCCGCTGCGATGGGCCCCGTTCTGTCCCCGTGTTTCACTATCTCGAACGATGCAGCACTGGTCACCTTGGGCAGCGGGGTGATTTATCTTCTCAGGACAAAGCGAAGCCAGTTTCTGGAGCGGCCCTCGCAGACAATAAGTCTGTTCGCCAGAAAGTTCCAACCCTGTTCTTCATTGGTGGCCACGGCGTCCACACCTGACGCTTTTTGGCTACACCCTGAGTGCAGCTGTGGCTGCCTCGGTCCCCCTGCCTTGCTGGGAGGAGTGTGGCTTGAGTTCGGCTCGGTGCCTGGGGAGGGAACCCAGCCCCAGGCCTTGAGCATCCTACCTGGGCAGGAATTCGCTGCCCCAGCCGGACTCCCACTGGGTCCAGGTGGGCAGGGCCGTGGTCGGAGAGGTGAGGGTGGGCTTGTGTGTTCGGTGCCAAGGTGTTTGCGGTGCCTGGCTCTGTCTTCCCAAGCGAGGGAGGTAAGGGGCCACGGGAAGGGGGAGACTGGGAGAAGATGGGCAGCGGGAGTCAGAGATGGAGAGAGGGGGAGGGAGGGAGGAGGAGGGAGGGGAAGGGAAGAGAGACTCCAAGAGCAAGTCTTCAGGAGAGAAATTCTGCCATAGAAACAGCAAATACAAAAAGACAGCAGGAAGGAGGAGAGAGCGCATGAGGGTGGGGAGGGCCTGGCGGACCCGTGGAAGACAAGAACCCAACGCACTTCCTGCGAGTGTGCGTTCCTGGGCCGCGTGTCTTTGGGAGCCGGTGCTGGTGGTTCTAACGGGCTTCGGGCCCCCGAGAGGAGCTGGCTCTGCACTCACGTTATTGATGGACTCCAGGCTCCAGGAATGCGGGGGCCACGCCGAGTTCACGGGAGCAAAGCACACGTTTCGGTTTCTGAGCAAAGACAGCCCTTCAGCGCGCCACCTCCCTCCGCCCACCCCCGGGCTGACCAAGGAGGAGATGCTGTGGGGTGTCTTTGGGGTCAGACACCATGAATTAAAGGCAGTTTCCAGATGCTGGCATTAGAGGGCCAGGTTTTATGGCCGGGATCCCATCAGTCCCGGCTTTTATTTCCCCGCTGTCTCAGTTCTGAGGGGGAATCACTCATGGTTATAGCCAGGCAGCTCCGTGAGCGCCCAGGACCTAGAGGCCTGGCTGGGCCTCAGCAGCGTCTCAGGAGGGGCCCAGGAGGCAGCCACTCTGGATGCTGCCGAACACGAAGAGGCGGGACACGGTGAGACTGTGGAGGAGAGACTGCCTTCTCCCGCCCACCCCAACACAGGCACGAGAGTTCCCCCAGCTGGGCCCCCCACGCAGGGCGTCCGCCTGGCTCAGGCTCTGGCACACTACGGCCCGTGGGCCACATTCAGCCCGCAGCCTGCCTGTCTCCATTAAAGGTGACTGGGGCACGGCCTCCCCTATTTGCCACACGTGGTCTAAGGCTGCTCTCCTGCTGCAATGGCAGTGTGAGTAGTGGTGACAGATTGTCTGTCCAAAATCCTAAAATAGTTACTGTCTGGCCTGTGATAGAACATCTTTTACAGAAACCTCGAGGCTTCGAGGTTGGCGTTGGAATATGAGAGACCTGGGTTTGGGAAAGTGTTTCCAATGTCCTCAGCCTCACTTTCCACATCTGGGAAATGGGATGATAACGATGTCGAATCACACAGGCCTATGGGAGGACCAGATGAGAGGCTGTATGAAGTATACACAAAGCTCAGCCTGGCATCTGGCAGACAGTGGGTGTCCGGCACACGCTGATGGCCTGGGGTCTCTGACCTCTGCGGGCTCATGGCACTTACAGTGGAGACCGGCTCTGTCCAGAAGAGCAGCTACAAGCCCCGTGTGGCTCCTGAGCCCCGGTAATGTGGCTCGTCCACGTTCAAAGGGCCGGCGGTGTACAGCACACACTAGACTTTGAAGGCTGTGTACAAAACGATGCAAACTACGTTATTAATTTTTATGATCACACATTAAAATGATAATATGTTGGGTCTGTGGGTTAAATAAAAGATATTACTAAAATTCATTTCACCTGTTTTTTTACTTTTTAATATGGCCACTACAGAATCTAAAATTGCATGTGTGGCCTGCATGATGTTTTTACTGGCCTGGGTGGAAGGTTTTCTGTTTGTTTTCTCATCTCATTCCCACCCCCTCAGTGGGTTTGGAGGTGAGGCACCCGCTTCTCTGTTTTGGGTTCAGTCGTCCTGGACGTGCGGCCCCTGAGGCGGCAGCAGCAGCAGCACCTGGGAAGTTGTTAGGAGTGAAACCCCTGGAGCCTGCCCAGGCCTCCTGACGCGGAAACGCTGGGGCTGGGCCCAGCAACAATCTGTGTCTTACTTAACAAGCCCCTCAGGTGCCTCTGATACATGCGGAGGTCCTGAGCCACGCTTTAATGCTTGCCCTTGAAAACTTCTCCTGAATATTTAACTTGAAACCTAGCATTGATCAATATCTTTTTTTAAAAAAAATATACTTTTATTGATTTCAGAGAGGAAGGGAGAGGGAGAGATGGAAACATCAATGATGTGAGAGAATCATTGATTGGCTGCCTCCTACAAAGCCCCCCCACTGAGGGCCGAGCCTACAACCCGGGCATGTGCCCTTGACCGGAATTGAACCTGGGACCCTTCAGTCCCCAGGCCAATGTTCTATCCACTGAGCCAAACTGGCTAGGGCTGATCAGTATCTTAATACCTTCTCCTAAACTGTAAGATTATTAAAAACATTCATTCTGATCATGTCTCCTGACTAAACCCTACCCTATCCAGTATTTGAATTATGTCCTTTTAAAATCCCCCACAATTGAGACATTGTCATCATTATTTTATACTGATATTAAATATTAAAAAATGTACCTACAGGTTTACCAATTTCTCTGTTCTTTATTTCTTCTTGTGGCTTAGACATTACTTCTAGGATAATGAAGAACCTGATTTAAAGGTTCCTCTGGCTCAGCTGGTGTGGCTCAGTGGTTGAGCATTGACTATGCACCAGGACCGTGGTTGGCAAACTGCGGCTTGCGAGCCACATGCGGCTTTTTGGCCCCTTGAGTGTGGCTCTTCCAAGCCTTAGGAGTACCCTAATTAAGTTAATAACAATGTACCTCCCCATATAGTTTAAGTTTAAAAAAAATTGGCTCTCAAAAGAAATTTCAATCGTTGTACTGTTGATATTTGGCTCTGTTGACCAATGAGTTTGCCAAACACTGCACCAAGAGGTCATGGTTTGATTCCCAGTCAGGGCACATGCCCAGATTGCAGGCTCCATCCCCAGGGTGGGGCGTGCAGGAGGCAGCCAATCAATGATTCTCTCATCATTGATGTTTCTATCTCTCTCTCCCCCTCTTCCTTCCTCTCTGAAATCAATAAAAACATATATATTTTAAAAAGTTCCTCTGATTAAGAGTAACTTTGGTTTATCTGAAAAAAGTCCATTTCACCCTGTTCTTCAGAGCGTTCTGCTGGGTGCACGGTTTTAGGTTGACGGCTATTTTCCTTCCGTGCTTTGAGGACATTGCTTCACTTCCTGCTGCCTTCCATTCCGCTGAAGGGAAGTCAGCTGCCGGTCCCATCGCCCTTCTGTTAGTTACATTTAAGGTTTCCTCTTTGTCTCTAATGTCCTTCCGTTTCCTTAGGATGCAGCTAGACGTGGATTTCTCTTTAGTTATTCTGGTTGAGAGAAACTTCCCATATCTGTGGCTTCATTTTTGGAATGTTCTCGACCATTATCTCTTAAAACATCACCTCTTCTCCATTCTCTGTTTCCTTCTGGGACTGGACTTTGTCTTCCCTTCCTTGTAACCTAGCACTGTCTACTTCCTGTGATGAGGGAAATGTTGTGTAAGCTACAATGTGCAGTGTGACAGCTGTCAGGCATCTGTGGCTATAAGCTCTGAAAATGTAGGCGGTGCGACTGAAGAACCGAGTTTTAAATTTTATTTAATTTTAATTAACATAAATTTACGTTTACCTTGCCATCTGTGGCTAGTGGGCTATTGTAGTGAACCAGAAAGCTCTCATTTCTCCTTCAGAGTTTTTAACAACTTATCTTCCAATGTTGCATTCTGGGTAATTTCCTATTTTTTTTTTCATTCTAAAAATCTCTCTCTTCAGCTATTTGTCTGCTATTTAACCCATCCTTGGACTGATTTTTTTCCTAATGCTACTACCAATGATATATTTTTGTTTCTAAAAGTTCTATTTGGTTGTTTTTCAAGATTGCCTGGTCTTTTTAGACAGTCCCTTGCTGTT